AAAAATATATATTATAATATAATAAAGTTTAAATTTTTTTATTTAATATATAATAAAAATATAATCTTATAAATAAAATTTAATTATAAAAAATAAAAAAAAATAAAATAAAATAGAAATTTTATTAAATGTTATTAAACCATGTGATTTATTCTCTTGTTTATTAGTTAATAGTAAAATCATTGCTCCTATCTTATTGCAAGCTCCAAATCCTGGCTTTAAAAAAGCTAAATTTCTTGTAAGAACTTATTTACTTTGCTTGCCTCAAGAAATTAAAAGATCTTTAGAAAACAATTACATTCCCGTTCCTCCTGCTCTTTTAGTTAGTATGCTATGGTAATTGTAATCATTAAACCCTAATACTGTGATTGAATTATATATAGATAGTTTAGGTTTGCTTACTAGATTATAAATCGGTTTGCCAAAGTACCTATCTATTATATTAGAAAACATCTAATTTAATGTAACCACCCATATTAATGTAAATGATTTTTTATGTATGAATGCTGCTAGTGAACCCTGTAATATTACTAAAAATTAATTTTTATAACAGGATCAAGTTTTTAATGTAATAAATTTGAGATAAAAAATAATGTAAAAGTGATAATTTTATCAATATTACATGAATGTTTATAATACTTAAAAAAATTTAATTCAAAGTAGTAATATTTGGATGGCAAATATTACATAAAAAAAACATGTTCTTTTTTAATTCTAACTTCATTTTTACAACAGCCAGCTTCATAGGCTTGTGATTGAATTCTGCCTTAGCAGATCTTTGAAAATAAATGAATACTTTATGCTCATCTTGTTCAACTCTGAACCCATAATGATCAACTATATTTGTCCTAAAAGCATAACCTATCTCGAAGAATTTTTGAAAATGAATAATTGTTTTATTTTCATCTTTTTTAATCATGAATTTATTTCGATAACAAATACCGACTTGAAACGTTCCATTAGAATTTCTCATGCTAGTAGACTTTTTATAATAAACAAATAGTTCGTGTTCATTCTTTTTAGCTTTGTATGAGAACAAAAAATGAGTTAAAATTGATATTTACAGATATATAACCATAAATTCTAGTATCATACCATTAGCTACTTTTCTCATTCTTTCGATATTACTGGTTCAAGTCAAAAGACCATTGATCCAGATTTCACTCCATTTCCGCTATAGAAGAAAAAAATATCATAAGCAAAAACTGAGAAAATATGCAAACTATCTAAATGTGCCTTGAAACAGGACAACACCTGAACCGGTAAATCTTCTGCATCTATTCTTGTAAAGTAATGTGTTAAATTAATGTTTTTAAATTCAAAGGAATGAGTATTCATCGTGATAATTAGATTATGAGAATCAAAATACCGTAGTGCACTGACCAAAGTACTAGGGGTCCAATACAATCTAACAAAAAAAAAAGTTATAAGTACATGTGGTATCTTGATCGGTGACGAGTATCTTGTATGGGGTCTTTTATATGTAATGCAAAAATCAATATATGTTAACGTGAAAAATGCCATGCAAAATACTCGGGTATTATCCTCGATTAAAAAAAATACTATACAAAGTACCCGGGTATTTTGAGTGGGGAGTACACAATAAAGGGGGTATTTTGGTCAGTGCACTACGGTATATACTTTCGATATGAGATATATGCTACAAAAAAAAAAATCTGTATACCAAATAAATGAATCATATGATTTGAATTGGTAAAAAAATTACACATAATTTTGTTGTACGAACAAATACCGTAATTAGTGTTGGCTAAACTAGTAGTCAACTATAAATTTGCTAGTCATTGGTCAAGGGTTCCTGGTCAAACTGGTCTGATTAAATTGATCAAATAGTCTAGCAATATGAACCAAATTAACAAATCAGACCAATCAATCAAATTGGTTGATTTGTCCATGTAACTAGACCATTTGACCAACCTGACCAATGTCAAAAATACTTGACCAGACTGGTTATTGGTCAAATTGGTCTGGTTAACTCAACACTGACCATAATGTACTGCCTTTAGTACCCAGATTTCATTAAAAAAAAAAACTAAATAATATGCCTTTAATCAAGAGTAAATATATAAGTTAAAGTATTTGGATCAAGAAATATCTGTGTATGATATTTAACCTATAATCCCCTGATCACTATATCAAGATCACAGGAGGATTAATTAATAATACCCTAACCATATATGAACAAGCAGAAACTCCATTTCTGCTAATTCCCAATGGATCAGGATATTATTATTACTAATATCTAACCTTGGAGAAAAATACTAAAGGTAGTACATTAGTTAAAACTTACTTTTGATGACTTTTTTTGACCATGCATATCTAAAAATAATAATAAGGTAAATAAAAAAAGTTTTAACAAATTTAATCAAATAATTGCTAAAACATTCAGTAAAGCTATGTTTATATGGTTCATGCAATTTGCGGTGAATTGGTTCCAATGCAATCTTAAGATAAGCATAATTTTCTATTCTAGAAAACAGAAATTTGTGTAATGGTTTTCAGGTTTTAAAATATTTTTTTGATCATTTAGAACTGCTAATGTTACCATCGCATGCTTTATTCTCTTTCTGACATTTCTTCCGTCGCCCAAGATCCACAAGTATATTGTAGGGGTTTCATAACTGAGAACTTTGTTCACGACAAGTTTGGGTATAAGAAATTGGTGAATTGTATATATATCACGATAATCACCTTCCATAATATACTTGTAACTTCTTCACCATCTGAATCATCTGTATTGTCATTTTGCATTTGTGTTTTCATGTCAAATTCTAATGATGCTCTCTATCACTATCTGTTGATAATATTCAACCAACTACAGAAATTAGTACATAGTAAAAAAGCACTGGCGAAAATTAAAATTTTGAAAGAAAACAATCCCACCTACAACACTATTTGATTGAAAAATAAAAGAGAATGACTAAACAGCGGATAAACAGTATCAAATATAAATACATATATATATATATATTTAATATTAAAGAATTTTCGTTCTTATAAGGTGCAGAATATTGGCAAATCATTATCTAATTTGTGGAAAATAGAATCAGCATTTTAGCACAATATAATAATGTTTTTTCACCTTCAATTATAGATGTTCAAGAAAGAGAAGTTATTGATTATCAAATAAATATATACGTATATAATAGTACTGGTTATACTATATATATAGCATAGGTTATAGTTATTTTTTTGATTTGGCTATATTAGTAGGGCAAAAATGGGAGTTCTGGGACACTTTTTTCACACCTCTATATGAATGATGTTTAAAATTCATTTTAATTGTCATCCTACTATATTTTATAGCACTTTTATATATTTAGCTTGGTGAAAATTTTTTTATAGCTAGAAGACGATAAATATTTGATCACGTCGTTATTTATATATATTAGAGTGAGCCTTTTCCTGAAGTCTATTAATATACTGAGTTACATAATATCCATTAGCATGCTTTCTACAAAGGCCAGGTTTAGAGCTAGTCGGTTTACTACAAACTTTGCAAGGAAAATGCTTTCTAGCCTTCCAATGTTCATAGCATCCTTCAGGCCGACAACAAGTACGTCCACAAATAACTCCAGTTCTGAGTAAATAATCACAAGTATATTCACCTATCATGGTATATAAATATGAATAATTTTAATTTAAACAAAAGATCTGGTATATTAATACAAACAACGGAATACCAGCACGCATATACAATGAGTAATCAAACTCAAGATACAAAAGATAACCAAACCAAGCCCACCTATCAAGAAGTTGAGCAAGCTTTAATTAATGTAGTTAAAGCAGGCATCTATTATAAAAAACCAAAAGAAGGTAAGTTTATGCAAAGTTATAAAGAGCGAATTATAAAATTACACCAAGCAGAAGACCCAGAAGAATATATATTAAAGTTAGCTATAACAATATTCCCCAATGAAGAAAAATATCATAAAATCAAAGATAACTATAAAGAATTTTATGGACGAGACCCAAAGATATTTACTTCTATTATGGAACTATATAAATTATATTTCAATTTAGCTAAAGATCATTTTGTTAAAGAAGCCCAAATCGATAAAGAAGCAGAAGATTTTCTTAATTTATAAAAGACCAAGAATACCAACTTGAACTATTCCACAAATGTCTCTTATTGTGAGTCTTTGATTCTCTTTTGGGTCTAACTTGTAAGTACCCACTGAGGAGGTAATTCTGTATTAGGATGAATAATTTGAAGTTCTTCTCTAACAAAAGACCACTTTGGTCTATTGCCCTCCTTATCTTCAAGCCAATATAAAATAGGTTGATTTTTTTGTACTAAAGATTTGTGGATATAATAAACTTGTGGAGACCAATTTATATCAGTCGCTCGCATTTGTCCACCTTCTAACTCACCAGGTTCAAGCAAATATCTTACTGCTGTATTATATGATAGCTTAGACTCATTAAAGGCTATAGGCCCATTTCGTAATTTGGAAGATATAGCAATAACTTGCTTCATTTTTATAGCTTTAGCAGGGGTCATACCAATTAGTCTAGTTACCGAATTATTAAGATCATTGACAATAATGAGAAGATTTTTAACCCAAGCTCTAGATCTTTTGGAGATAGACAACAATAAATCTGAAGCATCTTGTAATCTAAACAATTTTTCAGCTAAAGTGCAATTAAATCTCTCAACAATAGCTTGACTTCTATGGGATGTGCCAATCTTAATTTTAACATTATGTTTTTTCATTAATTCTTTACAGTCTGATTTAAATTCTGAACCAGGATCCACCATTAATAATTTAGGCCAAATAAGAGGACATCTGAAATTACTATAAACTTTTTTAAAGGCTTTAGCTACACTACTTGATGTCTTATCTGTTAAAGGAACTGCCCACTTATATCGTGAAGCTACATCAACTATACATAAGCAATATTTATAAGTTATATTATTAATTCGATCATGAGGCATATAAAGAATATCTGCTTGATGGCATTCATTAGGAATCTGTATACTATTAAATGAGGCTCTAGGAATAAACTTTGGACGTGGTTTATGAATCTGATATAAAGCCTGTTTTTCAAGCCAATCACATATTTCATCGATAGAAAAATTATATCCTGCTTTTAGAGAAGCTTCATGTAATTTTTTCACAGTTCTTTGATAGCCATTAGGTTGATAATAAATCTTACGCAAAGCAATAGATATATCTAGTTTATGAGCTTTTTTAGAATCTATTTGTATTATAGGAATAGATAACATTTTTAAACCAGCTCACTTGTAAGCAAAAATGAGTGAAAAAATCAAACAGTTTAAAGGTGCTTTATTGGTAATACAAGATCGAGTTAGCAAATTACAGCAGGATCTAGTCTTAAAAGAAGATTATATTAAATATCTCGAAAAAGAAATCTTAATTCGAGATAAAGAACTAGATCCATTACGATTAGAAATTTCTAATCTTAAAAAACAGCTAGAAAAAGTGCTTCAAAATTTAAAGAACCAAGAGAATTATATTGATTACTTAGAAAAAGAGTTAGTATTTTTTCAGAATAAAATCGATAATCTTGATGAAAAAATAAATAATATTATAGTTATGGCCCACCCACAAAGATCGCATACAGAAAATCAGGCGATACTCCGAAATCACAGAATTCAGCAAGCAACTAATAATATTAGATTATATTTTCAAAGCCCAAATATAGTGCCAACATTAAATGGTATTGTAGATTATCTTAACACAATATCTGAGGCTGGCAATTTATTAGAACAGTTAACAATAGATACCTATCTTCATTTGAATAACCGTATAAATAATGATGTAAACCAAATAACCAATTTACAAATCCAGTTAAGCACTCTTCAAAATGACTATGATCTTCTTAATCAAGCTTATAGAGCTCACAAGCTTAATTATCACTTGTTAAAAGCAACTTCTATAGATAAAAAAAATCGTATATCCAAGCTACTTCAAGAAAAATTTGGATTATTTCTTTTAAATAGACAAACCTATCAGCAAATAAGAGAATGCAGAGCTGGCAAATATTTGTTAGAATATAATCGAGATAGGTTATTTGAACGATATAAAAAATGGAAAAATAAAACCTATAATGCACAGCAGAATATTTTTAATTTAAATCAACAAAATTTATTATTATAAAATATTATAGCAAATTTTCAAAACATGGCGACTTTACAAGATGTTATGTCTTCATTATCCCCATTAATTGCCTAAATCCCTCAGTATATAGGTCAAGAACCCCCAGATGAATATTATAATAAAGTAGTACAAGTATTTGCATATAGAGGCACACTAGCAGTTGTTGGATTTAACGATGGTGTAAAAGCTGAAATTTTAAAATCCAAAATGTCTGGTAAGTATACTTCTGTTCCAGCCCAACACCCTGCTGGTACAGCTATTGATACTCCAGCACGATTCTTAGCTTGGTTGCGACATAAATATCATGAAGAAACAATAGGTTCTCGCAATGCCTCTTTATCCAGATTAGCTCAAGAAAAATTTAATCCTACTGATACCCCCAAACCTATGAAGATAGAATTCGTCTTTTATTGTTACAAATACCAAATAATAACCAGGATGCATTGGCCATATTATGGACACATTTGCCAGATGAGCTTTTTACAAGAGTAAAAATCACAAATCCAGCAGATATAAATGCATTCTTTACAGCTGTTAAAGATACCTGGCTCGAGCGAAAACCTTCCACCTTTACATATAATGGAGTTAATAGTAATATATCTGTTCCAATAATTCTACCCAATACAATACCTACAGAAAACCAATCTCAATATAAAAAAG